GGACCCTGTGTTGAGTTAAAATTTCAACCTGATAGGTGAACTCTGGAGTCATGGTAACCATGTGATCCACAGGCTTAACAATGACATGGTGAAATTGTGGGGGATATTCAGAAACAGAGAATAACACCTGCTTTCTAATTTCCAGCGCTGTCAGCTTCCCAGTTTGCACAATTAATCAAGAAATAATGTGGGGCCACTGGCACAAATGACGAGGCATCTCCCCGAAGCTTAACTTCCTATCTATCCAATCTCTTGGACAGATAATGGCAGTTAATTACTTTGAATGTAAGTATTTTATCCAAAATCATTTATGTGTCTAAACAAACCCCTTCTACAAATCAAGACAAAAATGATAGATAACGCAACAGAAAAATAGGCATAAACTTATTATTATAAACAAACAAGAATAAAGAAACCCTATGCCAGGTAACACCAAAGCTTGGGCTCAGTGCTCTCTGTGAAAACATCCTAGGATTTTTCTTTCCACTCCTATCACAACCGATCTGACTTAACCCCTTCTCACTTTACACCTAGGTTTTGCTAGACCTTTCTATTTTGTTGCCCTGAATTAAGCTTTCCCTTGTAGAGCACTCTACATATGGATTCTGAAATAATCTTCTACCTGTCTACACTTGAACATAAAGCAAAAAATAAAATAAAATAATCCTCCTGGCCAGGTGCGGTTGCTCACGCCTGTAATCCCAGCACTTTGAGAGGCTGAGGTGGGCAGATTGTGAGGTCAGGAGTTTGAGACCAGCCTGGCCAATATGGTGAAACACCATCTCTACTAAAAATACAAAAATTAGCCAGTCGTGGTGCCAAGTGCCTGTAGTCCCAGCTACTCGGGAGGCTGAGGCAGGAGAATCGCTTGAACCTGGGAGGCAGAGGTTGCAGTAAGCCGAGATCACACCATTGCACTCCAGCCTGGGCGACAGAGTGAGACTCTGTCTCAAAAAAAAAAAAAAAAAAAAAAAAAAATCAAAAAATCTCATGATTTAATAATTTAATCTCTCTGGCTTGGAAACTTTCAATGACTTTCCATATCTCACTGTGTGGCCTTCAAATTCCTATGTCTGATAATAGAGGTTCTACATAATCATATTTTCATTGCTCCCTCAAAAAATTATTTGCAGCCAGATTGGACTACTAAATTCTGATCATACCTGTAGCCATGTCTTTGTCATCTCGTAATGCATTGGAGGTTGACCTGCAACCTCCTTAGGTGGCTCTGGAAGCTGAGCTGGGACCATCTGCTGGCTTGAAGGTTCAACCTCCTCGGGGGGCTCTGGAGCCTGAACTGTGGCCTCCTGTTGGGCTGGAGAAGGGTCTGCCTCCATTTGGGGCACTGGGGTCTGAGCTAGAAACTCCTGCTGAGTTAGAGATGGTTCCACCTCTTCAGGGAACTCTGGATGTAAAGATGGGGACACCTGCTGAGTCAGAGAGAGTTCTACCAACATAGGGTCCTCTGAAGATTGAGCAGGGCCTGCCTGCTGGACTGGAGAGGATTCTACCTCTTTAGGTGGCTTTAAAATCTGAGTTTGGGCCAGTTGTAGGACTGGAGATGGCTCGACCTTCTCAGGTGGCTCTGATGGCTGAGCTGGTATCTCCAGCTGTGGTGGAAGACTGACCTCTTCAGTGGACTTCAGAAAATGACCTGAGACTTCCTGCTGGGTTTCAGATGGTTCAACGTCTTTAAGGGGGCCTGATGGCTCAGGTGGGGACTCAGGCTGAACTCGAGAAAATTCTACCTCTTTAGGTGGATCTGGGATCTGAGTTGTGGCTGCTTGCTGGGTTGGAGATTTAATCTTTACAGGAGAATCCAGAAGAGGGATCAGGCGGGGTTAGAGAGTCACCCTGCTCAGTGGGAATAGGAGGGCTGTCCTGCTGGACTGGAGAAGGTTCAGCCTCCATAGTGACTGCTGTAGATATGGTAAGCTCCATATTCACTTTTTTTTTTTTTTTTTGAGACAGAGTCTCGCTCTGTCGCCCAGGCTGGAGTGTAGTGGCGCGATCTCGGTTCACTGCAAGCTCTGCCTCCTGCGTTCATGCCATTCTCCTGCCTCAGCCTCCTGAATAGCTGGGACTACAGGTGCCTGTGACAACGACCGGCTAATTTTTTGTATTTTTAGTAGAGACGGGGTTTCACCGTGTTAGCCAGGTTGATCTCGATCTCCTGACCTCGTGATCCACCCGCCTCGGCCTCTCAAATTTCTGGGATTACAGGCGTGAGCGGCCACGCCCGGGCCATATTCACATATTTAACTGTGGTATTAGGCAAAGCTGAACTACTTCTGGATATGGAAGAGAGATCTACAGGTGAAAATACCGTCTTACAATTAAATGAACTTACAACGTCTGAGGAGAGCGGAGTTGGAGACGGAGTTGTGGGGTCTTGATAGACTTGGCAGAAGTTCATCATTTCCAGGGGTATTTAGCGCTGAATGATAATCTGTTGCTGGTCTTTCAAATGTTTAAACTGCTCAGGGGATATTAAAGACTGAGCTGGGACCCTGTGTTGAGTTAAAATTTCAACCTGATAGGTGAACTCTGGAGTCATGGTAACCATGTGATCCACAGGCTTAA